TGTGGGAGCACACCTGCGAGCCCCATATACTCCGAAGGTCCTGGAAAAAGGCGAGTCCAAGCCTAATATCCATTTGAGCTACAGTGCCCTGGGAGGTGAGGGGCCTCTGCAGGGAGGTGGGTTTGAACCAGGGAGCTGCAGCCCAGAGCTCTGAGGGCTGTAGAGCCTCAGGTTGAGCTTCCAGCAAGAAGGTCGCCAGACGGGCCCAACCGGAGCGCTGGAGATCATCAGCAGAGGCTGAGCACCCTGGGACAGACCTTCCCAGCCCTCCACCTCTTCTCAGCACTTACTTACCTCAGCCTAGTGGTGGAAGGACCCACCTTCACAGAACCGTGTTTTAGTGCTTTAACAGCACTGCCTTCCTCTCTGCACTAACATCAGCTACAGAGAAAGGAGACTCCAGTAAATCCCCCACGTTATCTGAATTTTCTAGCAGAGGAGCCAATGCTGCGTTATCAAACTTGGGCATTTTGAGGGTGTTGGCGGTGCTGGGGCAGGCGCAGGGCAGCCGGGAACGTGCCCGGGGTGGCCACCCCCGCTGGCCCCGCTCCCCCCAGCGTTCACCGCCGCAGCGTTGCCGTGCTCCCCGTTCTCGGCTGGTGTTTGCCCTTGGTGTGGTGGATGAATCCCCCAAACCCAGAAAAGGCTGAATTTCACTTGTGTGTGCAGCGAGGAAAATACAGGATTTATAAATATCCATGCATATACAAGGGCTTGTGGGTTGGGTTGGTCTGGATTAAAGGAGGTATTGAAAAATGAGGGAAGCCAGAAACTGCAGGCTTCTCATTTCTGTGATTTCTAATGGCTTTTCCTTTTGCATAAACATTGCATTGACTCCATACCCAAGAGCACTGCAGGCATTTGCTCCCCTGCTCTGCACAAAATATAACCCAGACCTCTAAAATGGATATTTTTTATTAGGACGTTTGGTTTCCCCAAGCCCGGGAAAGAACAGTTGCCCTCTGTGGCAGCAGGGCCCCAGCAAGCTGCAGGGCAGCCGTCTCCTGAGCGAGGCAAACGGCAGCTCCTTTGCGGGGGAAAAGCAGCAAACGAAATCTCCGCACTTGAATTCAGCGGCCCCTGCACTCCAGGACAGTGTTACCATGAATTCAGGTTCTTGTACAAAGAGCTGATTTAAAGACCCAGTTCCTAACCAATAGCTGGCGGGATTGTGTTCTGGTCTCCTGAGTTGAGTACTTTCATTCCCAGTGGATCGAAAAAATCAGATCCCTTCCTCCTCAGAGTGAGCCGGTGAGTGTCGGCGAACTGGAAGGCAGCAGGGCAGAAGGCGGTTTGCTTCTCCCAGTGCCCGTAACGTGCTTTTTCTGCTCCTGCGGTCACCCACGGGTGCTCACACGGGGTGTTGTGGGACTTCCCAGCCCGATCTGCCCTCGCAGAGCGGGAGGTGGTGTGGGGACCAGGACAGGTCCTGCACACGAGCGTGGCTGTCGCAGCGGGGACGTGCAACCCAGCGGCAGGGGAAGGCTGAGCTGAAAAGGCCCCTTGCTTGGGCTATGCCCGTCCGCGACGCAGGCGGGAGCCGGGCCCGCGGCAGGGCGGTCACCCCGAGGGCGAGCCGTCCGCGGCAGGGCGGTCACCCCGAGGCGGCAGCCCGCACGGAGAGGCCCGGCGCCCCGAGCTGCGGCGCTCTGCGGTGGGAGGTAGCCGGCGAGGCACAGCCCTGCCCGACCCACCGGGACCGAGGCAGCAGAAACCGTGTTTCCCAGCTGGAGGCAGGACAAAGCGCTGCTTGAGGCCCCTCGCGCTCGCTGCTGGGAAGGTGAGGGCTAATTTTCAGCTGTGGTGGTGAACATCAGCCTCCTACAATCAGGGATGTGACTGCAGGGCCCGATCCTACCAAAGCCTCTCAGCACCTGCCTGGGCTCCCTGGCTGCCCGCACGAAGCAGCCCTTCAGGCGACGGTCCGGCCGCGGCTCCGGTGAAAAGCGCACGGGGCACTCCTCCTTTTCCGCTTCCTTTCCCATGGGAGAGGGTGCAGCGACCCGGGCAGGGCTGGCAGATCCCCACGGGCGCCCTGGGTCTCTCCCCCCTCCAACGCCAGGGCAGAGCCACCCCGGAGGCCCGGCGCTCGCAGCCTCTCCCGGGCCGCATCCTGACCCGAGGCGAGGGAACGGCCCCGCTGGTGAGCGGTGCCAGGCTGCGCAGGGAGGGGGAAAGGCTTACCAAAAGCAGCGGAGGAGAAAGGGGGTGGCTCCCCGCGCTCCCACATAATGCCCGACTGTGTGCGAGAGCCGGCGGGTCCCAGCTGGGACCTCAGGCTCTGAAAAACAGGCTTTTAGTGTGAGCTGTAAGAGCCTGGCCCGTGCGGTGCTGCTAACATGACACTGAACTAACACCGCACTACAATCAAAGCATTTTAATAATTTAATATAATAAATGTCAGAAGGAGTGAATAATTCCCTGTAACTCTGAGGAGGCTGTAGGTGCCAGAAGGAGCCAAGTGGGTATATTGAGCTGCTTTAGCAATAGCCCTTTGACTCTCCGAAGGGAAATTTAAACCAGATGATGGATGCTGGGTGGTCACCTCGGTGGGCAGAATGGGGAGCACTGTTCAGAAATGCGTCACTGAAACAATTTAGCCCCCAAATTTGGAAGGCAATGGCTGCAGAGAACAGACAAAGAAAAGAAAAGCAGGTTTCTCAGTAGTCATTCCTCCAGGTAGACATCAAATCTGAAGAACCGCGGGTGTTTTCCTGCCTTTGGCATGCATGCTCCCACTTTAAGCAGTAAATAGCATGTGGATAACTATTCCAGAAGGCTCTTTAACAAGCTCCGGGCAGTAACCCACGTGCCTCTGGTATTACGTACGGATGGCAGGGAGCAGCGATAGCGGCACAAGCCTGGCCCTGCCCCGAGCCGGCGCCGCGGGAGGCTCTGCGGAGCCGGCGTTACTGCTGGCCACGCTGTCAGCACACGTCTTAATCCACAGGTTTTGGCAATTTGCTCCTGAACACTCCCTGCCGCTGCCTGGCCTCAGCACCGGGCTGCTCCTTGTCCTGCCGATGCGTTGGTGGGAGAGGCTCCCTCCAGCAGCACCCAGCCCTGCAGCTCCGCGGGGACGGGTGCTTCCCAGATGGGCGTGCTGGGGGGTGGCACTCACAGGGATGGAGCCTGTGTCCCTGCAGCTGAGACGTGAGCAAGGACCCAAAGCTGTGCTCCTCATTTTTGCACTGAATACTCCCCAGGAGAAAATTCACCCCCCCCAGCCTGGTTCTCCCCTGCTCTGTGCCCGTTGTCTCTGACCAACTGAGGCCGAAATGCTCCGAACAGAGCCAGCAAGGCTTAGTACTCATTTTTCACCATGTTGTGTTAGTGTAGACGACTTGCCACGGTCAGGCCAGCAGACAGCCTTTTCCATATTTACCCCGATCACAATCACTAGTTCTGTAAAAAAAAAAGGGCTTTTGCAGAGAGATTCCCAAACGGTGCTTTTAGATGAAGGGCTTGGTAGCAAAGGCGGATGAAAGCTGAAATCACACTATTGCTTGGCAGCAAAGGAGCAAGACAGCTGCGGGTTGCCATTATGGAAAAAGATTAAATAACTTTCTTACAGGATCTCTTTGGCTGGCCAAAGACATAAACCAGTCAGTAGATGATAGTTTTGCTGAAAAGCTTCACTCCAGCCTTTCTAAGTAACTCACCCTAGAGAGGGCACTGGTGGGATACTGGTTGGTGAAGCTCACCTTCAGCGTGCTGGAGCAGGAGTCTCCCAGCCCCGCGATGGAGGGTCGGAGGGACCGATCCGGCCTCGGCCCGGGAGCCACTGAGGGTGGTCCCAGGGTCTGCCTGGCAAAGGAGCTGTGGTGGGCTTGCTGCGAGCGCCGGCCGGGCAGAGCTGTGGCTGAGCAGCAGCGCCGGGGCTGCCGCGGGAGCGGAGCTCGGCCGTGGCCCGTGCTCTGCGAGCCGTGCTCTGCAGCCAGCCACCGGTCCGCTGCCAAACCGTTCACTTCTCAGATGCAGAGCGGCAGCTAATGCTGTGGGTGACACTGGCACCGGCTGTAAATCTGATTTTGGCAGAGCTCTGTTGATTTATGCTTGCTGGCGATCCGGCTAGCACGTCTAGGGTAAAGAATTGAGAACAAGGAGGGCAGGAGATGATGTTGCCCAGCTAATAACCCAACACAGCAGTGACGGGAAAATCTGTGGAGTGCAAAGCACCAGGTTCCCGTGGGACCACCCAGCGGAGATGCTGAGTAAATATTTGCTTGTATGGCAGATGTGTTTGTCTTCCACGCACAAACAGGAGAGCATCAGCTCCGTCCACAACGTGGGAAAGCTGGAAGTGAAGGGATGTAAGTTAAAGTCTAATTGTAACATGGGTCCCAGAAGCTGCAAAGGGCACAGCCTCTTTAAAATGCACATGTTGCACTGGGAAGAGCAAAACTGGCTGATGAACTCTTCTAAAAGGCTGCTCGGGGTGGCAGTGGTTGCTGCTTCTCTCCCTGGGAGCTTTCTCTGGCCTCCGAGCCCAGCAGGAGCTCACCACAGCCTGCCTTGGGGTGCTCGGCAGGACCAGATTTACCTCTCTTCACACACCCGATCGTTTATGCCCTCAATAATTCTCCATTTCTAGCCCATTTAAGAGGAAGAGAGACTGTTTTTAATGGGGATGCTCCACTGCGTACCTCTTGCAAGACTTTCCCTGGGTGGCCATGGCTGGTGCCGCCCACCCTCACCGCTTCTCCTCCGAGCGATCCCCCGCGTTCTCCTGGCGGCTCGGCAGTCTGTTTGCGGCTGGGGCTGGGGCTTCCCAGCCTTCTCTGGCCTCTGCTGTTCCTCTCTGTCTCCGACGCGAGGCCATGGCTGTGCGGAGAGGTCGTGCGTGACCCCCAGCAGCCTTGGGAGAGCCAAGAACCAGAGCCTGCAGCCAGGTCCCATACAGCTTTCTCTCTCCTGAGGATGCTGGGTCTGGTTTGGGTCTGATGCTCATCCAGGTGGGTCCAAAACCATCCCCTGGGCATGCAGAGCAGAAACACAGGACCATTGTCCAAATACCAGCAGACACGAACACCCCTTTGGAGCAAGTCAAGGGAGCTCAGCACATGGAATAAGTAACCTCAGGCTTAAGTCAAGACCTTTCCATAACCAGCCAGGCTGGGTTCCCTGGGCAGGAGCAATTTCTCCTGAGTGTGCCCAGCTGCCACGTCCCAAGCATGGGCAGATGTGCCAAGGAGGGGCTCCTGCCCAGGCAGCACCCCTTCCCTCTCCTCTGGTTTCCTCCTATCCAGCCGAAGGGCTTTTGTAGGGCAGGAGCTGATGTTCTTCAGATGGGCAGTCCTGCCTCCTCTGAAGGCAAGGCAGCGCCACAAAAGGTCTCCCCAGTAGGCACCCATAAGTCTCCCCGCTCTCATCTCCCAGTTCTTGCACGTGTCCCAGGCGGCAGAGCAGGGCACCTCGGGCTCAGACCCACCTCATCTCTCTCCAGCCGGTTAACGCCCAACTTACTAAGTTAGCAGAGTTAAATGCTGCGTGCGTGGGAACTCCTTCTCGTTAATAGAGCAGAAAGAATCAGCAAAACCACCCACTTCTTCGGTCTCAGAGACAAATGCAACTATTTTCACCCAGCAGCCCCTGCAGAAGCCAACGAGCAGCTCCTCCTTGCCTGACAGCTCCCCAGCTGCACTCACGGCTCAGCAGCATCGTTTCCCAACTCACCAAAAAGCCACGCAGCAACAAGCACGTCAGGTGGAAAACCAAATTCATAATCAATTAGGGCACCGCCACCGTTGTGTGGGACTGGAAGTCTTAGAAATGTACGTTTCAGAGCTATAAGCATAGTGCCCTGCGCATGTTTGATTGAAAGCTGATGAAACAGTTATTCAGTTATGCCAAATTTATATTTTTCAGTGCCAACCCTGGTCTTAGAGCAGCTGAGATGCTCTCTGAACACCAGTGCTTTCCAGTGGGAAAGCCTCTCCACCTTCCCCACCCATCAGGCCGGTCACGGAGTGGGCTCCAGGCTCCCTGCTCAGCGCAGGGCCGGGAGGGCACGGCGCGGAGCCCAGGTCTGGTGTTACAATGCTGGGGGACCGCTGTCTCGTAGATCCAACCCGTACCAGACCGACCTGCTTCGGGACGGCGTGCGGAGGTACCTGCAGCTGCCGGCAGACCAGACAGTACTGATACTGCACGCCAAGGTCGCGCAGAAGTCATACGGCAATGAAAAAAGGTAGGAGACGGCCCCAGCTTCTCTGATAGCCACTTCCAAACCCAGCTACCTAAAGCTCCATTTCAGCCTTGCTAGATTCCTCTGATTTAAGCTGGTGAAGCAAACGACGATATATCTCCTCTCCATCCGTTCATGACCTCTTTGCATCTAAAACTACTGTTTAGTCTTGAACTAAGGATATTAACCCCCCACCTGCATCCATCCCAGTTCGACATTCCCAATGGTTAGGTTCCTCCCATGATGTAATGGAGATCAGAAAGATGAAGTAAGAGAAGGAAATAAGCTACTCAAGAAGAAGAAGAAGAAGAGGAGGAAACGTTAGTGTTTTAAGTGCTCTGGAAATCTGGTCTTAAAATCTGAACGGCCACAGCAGGGACTGGGGCGTTTTCATCAATGCCCGCGGTCTCCAAAAAGCTGCTATTTTTGAAAATCTTTCTCGCACTGCAAAAACACCTTGAGGTTCTGGCTTGAATCTCCAAAATTGCTGCTCCTGGGCAGTGATGTCAGACTGTGGCAGTGCAATATAATTAATCCTCCATTAATCCTTGTGATATAAATAATCCTCCGTTATTACCGAGTGTGGTGTAGCTGTGAGGCGATGAGCTCTGCCTCTAAGGCATAACCGCACCCAGGCGCCAGCGACCCCAGGAGACAGCTCTAAGCTGGGCCTACAAAGTCCTCATCGCATCCAGCCTCCTGCCGGGGGCTGCTGCTCCACGGGCAAAGGTTTTCTTTGGGGACGGGGTCTCCCAGCCGGGAGGGAAGCCCCCGTATCGCTGAGCTTTCAGAACAGCCTCCTCCCCCTGCTCCGGACCCCATGCAAGGGATGAGCATGAAAATCAGATGCCAGGTCTGGAGAGGGAGAAAAAAAGCAGCACAGAGCTCCCATCTTTAAGTTTAAAGGTGCTGGTGCCGTTTTCCTTCATGATGGGAGTCAGGGGCCTGTGCTGTGGATGACTTGTTTAAATAAACCCGTATGCAGGACTTTAGGGCTCTGAAATATCCACCCCCCTGCACTGGTGTTTTCTCTGCTAGCGCTTTACCCAGGATCAATAGAGGATGAATTTGCACCATTCACACAAGTGCAAAGACAGTGGAAACCCAAATAAAACACAGGAAAATAGGTTTCCAAAACCCTGGCTATAGATTTATTTGCGTTGGGCTCCAAATCTGGCTGTGAATGCAAACTCTGTTCCCGACATGCCGAAACTCCCACACGGCAGGCGGGCAGAGGCAGGGGGCCCGATCCGCCCTTGGGTCCGGGCAGGAGGGGGCCGAGGTGCCCCGTCCTCCCCTCCCGGGGCCGTCCTACGGCCGACGGGCTTGTGGCCACCAGCGGCACCAATAGATCTGGCAGCCACCCGGACGCTGTGGCTGGAGGCAACCAGTGCAGGGCGGAGGGGCTGAGGCAGCTGCTTCAGCAGAGCCTGATTCCTCGGGCCGGCCCTGCCCGTGCCCCCCAGCCCGGGGGTCCCCAGCCCCTCGCTGCGGCACCACATACCTCCCAGGGTGCGGGCCTGCTCCCGGTGCCGGTGAGCCCTGAGTGAAGGTCTCCGCTCTCAGCGCAGCCGTCCTGGCACCCCTGAGCACCCTTTCTGGATGCTGAAGTGCAGTAAGAAAATGTCCTCTTGTCTCTGCAGGTTTTTCTGCCCCCCACCTTGCGTCTACCTGAGCGGGCCGGGATGGAAGTTAAAACAGGAGCAGATAAAAGGTAAGCACTGGGCAGCAGCCCTGGCCCTCTCCTCCCTCCCTTCCCACGTCACGGAGAGCTGCCCTCCGCCTCCACAAAGGGGAGAGTGACCCAGTTTATTTTTTCTTTGCCCCCCAAACTTTCCCCCTCGAGGCTGAGCCCTCTGCAGTCCAGACCTGGGGAGGGCTAGAGCCTGGGCCGACCCACCGCACCAGGAGGAGCCGAGCCCATGCCTGTGCCTGCGCGGGGGCTGGAGGGTGCTTCTCCCCGTCTCTTCCAGCCAGGGACCTGGGAGAGGAGGGGTTTCGGGTGTGCGGGTACATGGGGCTGGACAGCATGGGCAGCAGCCTGATGGAGACCCAGAAGCTCAGCTTCGAGGAGCAGCCGGACGCGAAGGTAAAGCCTGATGCTCCCCGGGGCCATGCGGTGGCACCCCATGGGGACCCTGGTCACGCGTGGGCTGGGCTGTCCCTGCCGTCACCCCACGCCCTGGGATGTAGCATCATCCCCTTCCCCGGGATGGCATTCCTAG